AACAGTCAATGCATTTGGGATTGACCAGTTGGTATCCAACCCTCGGTTAAATAGGGAATGCGGATTCTGAATTGCTCGCAAAGCAATACGGGCATTCTTAACGCGCGTTATGATCACCCTCCAATACTTCACCGTTCTGATAGTCTATTTCCGGAATTACATTTTAGCCACGTGGAATTTGCTACTCAGGTAAATGAAAAACTCGTTAGGAATCCTGGATTAAGCAGGAAAGTTTACGATTCTGAATTCAGGTATGCAGGTTTATGCACTTTGTTCAGCAGAGACAAACTCATGGTCAGTTCTCTGTGGCTTCCACACATATGGGAAGACTAAGGTCAACCCAATCTTCCCCCTTTTGAGGATAAATTGAATTCTATGGTGAGCGCTAAAAAAGCAGGGTCAGCACTGACGCAGGTTTAAATTTCTTCAATTCACAGTTGCGTATGGTGCCAAAAAAGGAGTGTTAGCGTATAAAACAGAATTGCTGGAATTGCTGTGATGGGACCTTGCTGAAGATTACAAAACTGGCAAATCCGGCAATAGACTTTTCGGACTGTTTATCAAGGTTCTGAGTGGTATCCTATGGAGAATATTTGGCCTTTTCGGGAAATGACACGGTGTCAGTATAAACTTAGCGTATTCTTTGACTGAAGAAAAGCACTATTATAGACTCTTCAGACTCTCTCCGGAGAGTTCTGATGTTCGAGCGAACTAAGGTTACCTATTGCAAAACGTTTTGTTCAAGACTAAAGTGTGCTTAGTCGAAATTTTAGAGGTAAGTTTGCACTGATGGTTGGTTTTCTGCTCGCCAACTTAAACATTTAGTTCGCAAGCACATCGTCGCCAGCCGAGATGACGCCAACAAATGCCTAGACGGGAGATTGATAGAAATAACATCCCAAAGTGGTTTGATCTAAACTGTCGAAATTCATTCGCCTTGAGGACTCGAAATTCGGCAGAACTCTCAGATCGTTGGCAATCAGAAAAACGCCACATTTAGTGATCAAAGTCTCAGTGGTTTGGTCGTTTTTTTCGGCAAAAATTTTGTTCTTCTGGTAGCCCGTTCACAAAGGATCCGAAAGGGATTCTCAAACAGTCTATTCAGAGTAGAAAAGTGCTCATCTCTTCCAGAGAAGCAGGACATAAATCGATGATAGTGGCGGCGAAAACAGGTCCATTCTGACTTCTTCTGCGGGAGGAAACTGTAGTAGGTGCATGATATACACATAAAATTTGTTTTGTGGCGCGAAACTACTTCGTAGGAAATTTTGCCTCGTTGTGATTAGCCCGATACCACCACGTTGATCCGAGACTGATAGGTCCAGGGCGTAGACATTAATGCTGGTACTGACTGAGAAGAGGTTATATGGCACCGGAACATATACAGTGGTTTGGCAGATGTTATTAATTTTAAATCAGAAATAAGGAGGTCGAAAGAATCATGGATCCAATGTAAAATGTGCTGAATAAATGGGGCGGATGTAGATAAGCTTTCTTCATAGTTCAGTTCAACGCAAACATTGGCTATTGGGCAAATTTTACATTCCGTTCAAACGTTCACCCAGTTTCTTCCACCATTTTACGTTACTTTTTGTTCCACACTTTTTGGCGGTCGAATCGCCTGCCTTCTGTTTACCGAGGTGCTTGTCGGTATTTAGGACAACACGTGAAAAAGGTGTGAAGCTTTGGAACACAACCCATTGTAATGCTCCTAGCGTGAACAAATTATCATTCACCGTGCTACCAAACAAAAGTAAGTAGTGCGTATTTAAACTTAGAATCGTTTTTTCATAGGTCACACTAATCGCCTGAACTACTGGAGGGTGCACTATTGGATAAAATTCAGTAACTATGGAGGTATATCACATGTTGTCCTTATTACCGTATGTTCGTAAAGTTCGACCGACGACGTTTTAGCATCAATGAGCACTACCCTATTTTGTGCAAATTTGGAAAAGGTTTGCATCTTATCGCATATTTTGCACACTGCTTTTGTGGTCTCCACCCAAAATAGCTACCCACTTCACATGAAATAGTCGATAAGCAGTGTTCTTGTCCTAGTTTGGGGCTGATAGTGTTGATTTGCTTGAATCACTTCCGCCGGATGCGTGCTTATGTCCAACGCTGAAATGCGTTATACGATCATGTCCAGCCGGCTTAGCCGCATGAGGTACACAACCGTTTCGTTAAGTGCCTTCCCAGTTTCGTTCTTGAGTTATTTACCGCGTCACATTGTCCAATTTTTGGATACAATATTAGCACATCTTCCGCAGACCCGAACTACTCAAAACATTTATGAATGGTTTTCTTTGAACGGAGCTGTACTTGCTTGCTTCAGTTGACTATGGACGCAGAATTCATTGCTCCGTATCGAGCTATTAGGTAGTACATCCCTTACTCATTACAGGTAATGTTGAATTTATGAGTGATATTCGAACAATCAGTTAAATCTACACACGGTTGCCTTTAAAAAATTAACCTGGTTTTTAAGGTAGAAAACGATGGTGGGTCAAACGGTCAAACTCCATCTGCGATACGCTTCGCCAGCAGCCAAAGCTGAGACTCACTAATGCATCAGGATGTAGCTATCCTTCGCCCCGCTCATTCCTCTTAGTTCTTAATTTTGAGGATGGTGAGTGGTAGTGGGACGCCATCTCAGTGACTCCTTTTGAACCAATCGTTTGTTTTGGTTTGGTACGTGAGTTAATCAAGTTAGAGTTTTCTACTAATCGGACTGGCAATAAAGAATAACTTTCTAGGTTCAAAGTAAATTTGAATGCAAACCTGAAGATGAAGCTGTAGAAATGAGTCTATTTGCTCCGCGGAACCGTGAGTCCCGTTGCCGCTGCCTATTCCTATTTGCCATCAAGAATGTTTACGTTGGCCAGTCAGATATAAGCTTTAAAAGTACATATGTGTCGCGATATCTCGAATATCTAGCGACTGAAACATGGGGCGGCCTGACACAGCACATTCAGTTGCCTGGAAACATCGCGAACAAGAAATCAGCTGGGTTCCAAGTGAGTCTCTCGAAAAACCAAATTAGTTTGCGAATGAGTGTATTTTGCTGAGCTTACACGTCTTCCAAGCTGTCGATCTACTAACTTTGCGTATTTTTACTGTTTATTATTGCGTATTATTATTGTTATTATTTATATTGTTCCGTCGTATCAGCAGGCAGTCATCCCTCACACAGTCAGTCTTCACTCGCCTTCCCTAAGTCCAGAGTATAATAAAGGACATCATTACTACGGCACAATTGAAGCTCACCGATTAGAGGGTTATATGGATAGAAATTTTCGTTTTTCGAACGAAGTGGACGAAAAGTAGAAAAATTGCTAAATTGTTGAAAATACAACAGGTTCAGATACCTAACTATACGTTGATGAGTGCGATTATTATACTTTATCTTACAATGAAGCGAATCCAGATTTCCTCGAGTGCGCGTGAATGTACACTGGTTCATCGATCGGGAGGCACACCGATTACTGTTTCGAACCAAGACAAGCTTTTGACCATTAACACAAGCACGTTAACTCGTTAGCTTCTACTTGGGCTTGCTGACTAATCAATGACAACCCAGCTTATGTGCCGAAAAACCTTGACACAGTTGATCAGCTAGCTTTGAAGTTGTGAACCGGACTCGAGTGGTCCACGATGAGGCTGACATATTTCGTTGTTTTCTTTGTAATTAAGACGTCGAATTGATGGTATTTGGTGGTATAACTCAACAAGTGAAAGCAAAATTTTGATGCCACGAATCTTTTGTCTGCTTTCCGCGTTATTTGAATTTACGCCCATATATTTAGTTGTGTGCAACATACAAAACGACATTCCTAACTACCTTACGTCTAAGTACGGTCGTTCTTTCCCACCAACTACTTTTTGAAAAAGGCATGATAATCACAGAAAGGAATTTTTTTCATCACCTCATTCAGGAAGTCTTTGGCTAAGTGGACAAGTGTGTTTCGGCCCCTCCTGCGGAACCAAACAAAACTCAACACGTGTGGAGGCGCCTGTATCGATGCGTTCACCATCGACAGTACAAAACAAGTATTGCACACTACAGTTTCACTAGAATGCAGCCATAACTTATTCGAAGAAGGACTTGCTGTGAAAAAATGATAAACGGAGAAGGGAAGGTGACCTATTGTAACACATTACATGGAGTCCTAGGTGTCCAGACATGCAACCACCCGTTCAGACGATGGAAACAAAATCCTGCAATTTGAACACGACTGACATTGACTAGCAGCTATGTCGTTCAGTCTGGAAGATCACTCGAACTTTGAGGACCAATCGGATTTAGCAAAGGTTAACTTCCCTTTTGCTCGTGCCAAAACACGACTGATAAAAGGGCTGGAGCGTAAAAGACAAAATATAGACTCATCCTAAGTAAAAATAGGTTGGACACTTGAATATTCCCGGAAAACCTAGGAGCACTTTCGTAAAAAAAACTTTAAGATTAATAATAAAACTGAGCTTCCTCCTTTGTTTTTGGGCATTTGGTTACGCCTTATAAGTCAGTAACGGTTAAAGTTACGTGCTAAATCCATTTTGCCTGTTCAATTATGATTTATCTCGCGGGCTAGGTTGAACATAGGGTGATCGGTTCGCTCATTTTGTATTATTCATCCATAGGCAGAATGAATGAAATATTTATTTTTAGATGTGAATCGCAATAATCAGCATTTCATGTCCTCCCCACACCAAACTGAGGTGCCAACATAGTTTTGAAGGTGCGCAACTTCTAATTTCTGGTTGAAAAATCAAAAAGACATTTAACTAGGTGGATAAATGAAGCATCTTCAAACACGAATCACTGGTTTCAAATGTTGACTGACCAAGTAACTTAATTTGGGTAACCAAATTCTTCCCTTTTTAAGGCAAACCAGACTACGGATGATTTGTTTTGGAGAACGATATGTATTCGTTCAATGACAGCACAAAAGCACTCAAAGGAGTAAGTGTTTAAAATTCTAACCAGAAATTTAGTTACATCAAGCATTCATTATATTTAATTCCTCTTGTTCTGTTGCCTCCTGACGCGAAGATAGTATCTGTGTAATGAATTTTCCAAACTGTTCTCGTAGCTTCTCACCGTCGTCAGCAATGTTGTTCTTTATATGTTTGAACTTTGAAAATGCAAGCGCTAAAGGAAATCACTTTAGCAGTTTCAAAGAGTCATACGTAGTACCACGATATCACGCTCAACTTTCGCGCATCTATTGTTGCTAATGACACAACAGCATGTGTCCTTTAGGGGAAAATTTCGATGTGTCCTTGTGTGCCTAAGACATTAGAAATTACATTGACTAAAACCCACCAATCTTCCAGTTCTCTGGAATGTTCGGAGTGATCTGGAGAGTACACGAACATCACTCCATGTGATCCTTTGAAGACAGCTGGCCAGCAGTTCTCATACCTAAAAAGTGAAAGTAGTGTCATGGACAAACTTACTTTACGTCCCCACTCAGGTCCCAAAGTTCCACCTCTACTTTCACTGGTTTCGTTTTGACGTTCACATTTACTTCATATTCAATGATACTTGAATTTCGCAAGGTATGTCCAATTTGTGTTCCGAAAAGGAGGGGAAAAGTGCTAAAAAAACTTTTACGTAGACTAGCAGAGCAAAATGAAAATGAACATTTTTCAAAAAGCACCTATGAATAAAGTGATCATAAATGATAATTAGAATTTTTACTGAACATAAAAATTGAGTGTTCGCACGATTTAGGACGGTTAGAGGCTTTAGTTTTAATTAATTTTACACTAGTAACGTAAATAAAGCATGGTCTAGTGGCTAAATCTTCTTGGATAACCGGGGTCCCTGAGACAGGAATGCGTAATGGCAACTGCGGTCGACACTTGTCACTTTGTAATGCTAAGAAAATAATGCCGAGATGCCCTGACTTCAATCCATCACTCAAATTGGCTACCGTCTCGAGTAGTTTCACATGGCCCATGCACACCAGGCTTTTCCAGCAAAAGGAGTATGGACTGATGTTCTTGAGGTAACTGGACATGAAATGATGCGAACATAACCATCTGGCGGGGCCAGAGAATCCATCAAACAGCTTATCAAAAGCCATCACTTCACTTAGTAGTGGTCCTTGGTGAGTCCTGCTGTTAAATAAAAATTTTGTTGTTGGTTCCAAGCCAGGGTATGCTCCTGTGCAATGGGGACCCAGAAAACCATATTAAACCGTCAGTTGGATACTGATTAATAGATCATTGAAAATAATGGCAATATTTGATCAGCGGGTGATTCTGATTTGGCGCTGGAGAGTTAAAACTTTTATCCGGCAAAGGGAGATGAACGTTGAAAAAGTTATTAGATCAAAACTCCGCTCTTTGAAGTATCACGTTCCAGCCCTAACAGGTCTATTGTCCCCAGAAAGAGTGTTATAGGCCTCAGCTGTGCACTTATGATTTTCAAAATGTTTATTTAACTGGACAAATCACTTAATAAATGCATATTCATTTTGATGGGGCACATGAAGAGAAATATTACACGCTCTACAGCTGGTCTACCAAGGTGACTGCATTCAATTTTCAATGTGATAAGCATAGTGAAAATAGAAAACAAATATCTTCAATTAAAGGTTGTACGACAAAATTGCACGTGTTTTTCACGTTATTCTACGGAATCTGGACACCCTAGACAGAACGCTGCAGCTTGTTGGAACACCAGTTTGTAACACCGTATGGGGCGATGGGAACGACAACAAATGGTCATCGACATGTGAAAATTAGATAATTCATCTTCAAAAAGTTATTTTCGCTTTTTTTAAGGAAAACCTTGAACGGAACACCTAAAATCGACGAAATTCGACCTGACAGGCAATTAATTTGCGGAGCTGGTCATGGTTCTTAGACATCGATGTCAACGTACATCGTCCCTATATGCATCACTGAGCCTACCTCTCGTAATAAATGACCCAGATTAGCGGTATTTGTTACACATAGTTTCGGTAAGTGCTACAACTGAACCTTGAATGAGGAAGACTGCCGCAAAATAACACAGTAACATGGGTCCACAACAACCAGTCATCATTATCATCATAACCATCGACAGCGCAACATCACTGTTCGACACGGATGCTTAGCTACCATACAACAATAATTTGCAAACTTCATTGCGAACAGTCAAAGGACCTAGATGGGAAGCGACAAGGTTGTATCAAACCTTCAAAATAAGGGCTTAAGTAGGACACCACTTGGATATCTACCAAAATCCCTTTGAAGACGGGAGTCTAATTTTCGGCTGCTGAGTAGCTCGCTTGCATCCTTCGGGGTAGTGCAGCTGTGATCGATTATCGAAATCCAAAACGTTACTGACGGACAAGCCCCTGCACTCTAAGCTTAATCAGAAAAGATTGGAACCACCTAGTTATATGAACGTGTTCTACTCCGTATTCCTGCTCCATATGATTAAGTCCTCACTGAGCATAGATTGTTGAGTATATAAACATACGGAATATTAGATACATCTATTAAGTTCACCAGTTCGTCGGTACAAATGAGTTTCGTAGATGATTCAAACTCAATGTTGGTCATTTGGCTCCACTTAATAAAAAAGGTGTTGCCGAGATACTCAAACAGATCCGTGTTCGATTTGATAGCATCCCGCAAGTTCGTGTTTACTTCGGAAGTCAGGGTTTCAGAACATTTATATGGTAGGGGAAATTATTTCAGACAGTAACATTATAAGCCATACGACGGGGCATAGCGAAAAATAACGCTGAATAAAAAATTCCAAGTCGCTTAAAGGTAGTTGGAAATCAATTGTGATTTTTGGTCACCAAATCCAATACAACTAGCAGTAGGCACTGGAAAAATACGGAAAGGTTTCAAAATAAGGAAATCAGAAGCGCTGTCAACTAACTAATACAAGACTAGAGGAGTGCTATTAGAAGCTTGAATCCACCATCGTGTGTGCACACCATAACTGGTATCCTAAGGCGTCTTAAACAGCAAGGCCTTTGGGGTTGTTGATGCATGCTACCTACCCCAGAGTTCAGAAAGAATGTGGACGTGTATTGACTAGTCTTCCAGAGTAACACGTGAAAATGTAAGGTGTTACGCCACGGATTAACATATGAGCCTTAAAAAGAAGACTTACGAGCTATTGGCTGCCAGTTATCCAAAGTGTCATGTGTCAGTGGTTTGTAACACCTTCATATCTGTTGCAGTTTTGTGGAAACCGCCATTTACCTAGCCTCATCGGATAAAAGGCGCTGATTTTATGAATAGTTCCTGCACAGTTCATTGACATTGATGTCGCGAAGTGCAGGTAACTGGCAGGGATTTCAAAAATTCTGGAATGCATCTGCAGGTTGTGTGAGGTAATTGGAAAGATGATGCCATCATGTTCAAGTTGAGGGATATTAAAGCACCTATGGATAGCTTAATGCTTTAATCGAAATAGGCTGATCTCTGTGCACCCGACTAGTGATTTTGGATAACGGGTTAAATCCTTGAGACGTCCATGCTACACACGCAAACTATACATGCACAAGCAAAGTCCTGACAGCTCGAGTATACGAAAACTGGTCAAAGTAGCACTCAAGTGTTATGAAAAGACATGTTCCCGCAAGACAAACTTGTTACTTGGTATAACGGACCGATATCTGACATTAAAGACCACAATTATCGAATAAGAAAAGGATTAGGAGTTGAAAGTATTGAGGTCTGCAGATGCGCTCAATGTCGCACGCGGACGTACGCTGATACCAGTAAAAAATGTGAAAGCTTGGGAAATTTTGAGCCATGCCACTGCCCCTAGTTTTAATCTTAGATGAGTGCACTTGACTCCCTCATTAGGTCCAAAAGATTGCCCAAATAACGGTGTCAGTCCAACTGCTTCTGGTAGGTAGGGTGATCATGTTCTCTGTTTAGATCGGTGTCACGGCCCTCAATGGAAGGGTTGATCGTTCAAATGCAAAGAAACTAGTTTGTTTTTGTCCAATACATGGGCCTAAAAACTAAAAGCCAGGGCCGAATCCGCGGTTTGCTAATTTTTGGAGAAATCCGGCGTGAAACTCGGTTGGCCGTTTGAAATGAAGTTATAGAGAATAGGCTCCTTACTTGGCAGAAGGCATCACACCAAAGCTCTCGGCTAAGCTTGGACAAAAACAAAAAAGAAGCGTCTGGTAGAGTTTTTGATTCAGTACCTAAAAGTGTAAACCCGGGTCTGTCCTGCTTCTTGGATAGTTGGATCTGTTGATATTCATGATTTTTTATCTTAGTTCATACGTTGTAACCAACATTGGCCTAATCATCATTCCCGATCCAGGCTGCTGTTTTAGTCGCTGTCGTTTTGCATTTTCGCTGGCCACTTGTCTTTGTATGACAAATGCCTGGGTCAGTTCTTTGCAAAATGTTTCATACGAAGTTGCTTCTGAGCATCAAGCACTCTTACAAGCTGTCTTGAAATCCGATTATGCGTTTTAGGCTCTGTGGTTTACATCAGCCATACATTTATGCGATCAGAAAATAGTACAGGCGGTGAGCGCAATAGTCACACGGACTTAAAAGCGAATAGCCGAGGGTAAAGAACTGCACACTGTGGCACGTGAAACGTCGTCTCCCGTTCACATCCAGTTCAGTCTGGTCGGACATTGTCCTTGGCAAATGATGATACTCAGCCAGTTCCGAAGGTGTGATGTGAGTCCTAATAAAGGGGGTCCCCACAAGAATACGGTAAGATCCACTCGGTCCAGCGCCTTGCCGCGAATTATACACTGACATTTTCTGGTTAAAGCCATGGAATTCAGCTACCCATCGTGCGACATTTCAGAGTCCACGATGTATCATCAACCCACAGTGAGATCATTTTATGTTATGAAAAACAAATAGCGCACAGACAAGTATACTTCAGGTTTATTCAGAATGATCCCTCCCGGGGCCTCCGGCGCCATAAAATTAAGACATTCGGGTATGTCACACAAGGTGTTCACCTCCTGATTCCACTTCAGACTATTTGCTACGAATATCTTTTTGTTGTGACATCTGTATTCCAAAGAACAGAAATCGCTCTAACTTGTTGAGAGCTCTGAACTACTGAGTGAATTGGCTTGTTCTGGGTTGTGACCATGGCATGTGGTCCAATTTTCTAGCATAGGATTAAATTCACTGGTACCGCACCCAAGATTTTGTCTGGCAACCTATTGGAATATGGTCCTCACTAATTCTGACGGATTGCGATTACAAACTGCCCCGACCTTAATTTTTACCAGATCCTGCAACCGCTTCCATCAGCCACTTTGGGCGATGCTCTCATTTACCATCAGCGGTGAACTAGTTAAAACATGCTAACTAGCACTTTGAAGACTTTACATTATTAGTTCCGTTATCACTGATTTCAAATAAATTGCCGTAGTTCAGGTTAATTTTCTGCGTGGTGAAGAAGCACTACCGGCACGATATGTGTACCCGGAGGACGCTCTCTCCTGCAAATAACTAATGTAATAATAAAACCAGTTCTTACAGTTAACGACGTTCATGGTAGCTAAACGTGCTTCAGCCGACGTTGTGTACTTGACGAAAACACTGACGCACTTCTACCAAAATTTAGTAGCCTTGTGACGGTTCTAGTCTAAGATTCCATTTCGGCAATGGCTGCAAGTCATAAAAGTCAGTGAAAGCTGAGAAATCCCCATATGCGACGACGCCTAAAGTATGTGAACTGAAAAATACTAAGCCTCCTAGTGAGAAGTTTTAGGGCAACTACGAAAACATTGGCACCAGTCCCATAAATAGCTCTACTATTGAAATGAGTGCTATACATTAGGTATTTGCAGTGAAGTCAAGCTGGATGCGCACCTAGCATCAGCTCTGACTGTCTGCAAGTCTCAGGGTAAGTAACTTTCCACATTTGGATTATAAGGGACAGTGTTCGACAAAAAATGACATGTAAGAACTCCCACAGGAGTAATTTCCGGTGCTGCCTGCAGCATCATTGACCTTTGCCATGAGTAGCAGTATTCACAATGACCTATCAGCACAAAACGATCACCTTGTAACAACTTCCATCCACAGCAAAGCTTGGAATCCATTCCATCCAAGCTCAAACATGTGACTGGGCAACATAGGCCGGATGGATCGTGAATGGAACATTTTGGCTTTGTTGGGTGCTAAAAAGGGTCTAGTGGACACTGATTAGGGTGCAGCTTCTGTACACTCGGTTTAAACTGATTCATACAGTGTGTTAGCTGCATCGGGATCCTGAGGCAAGTAACCCAGAACTTAGACAATTTGGAAGCAAGAGAAAACGCATCTAAAGGTGAATGAAGTACACCTGGTTACAATAAATATGATGGTTGTCGAAATGAGTGCATGCTGATCAAATAGATAGACGGAAAGATTAAAAAGACCCAAATGGGCCAAGCAACCGGTTTGTGGCCCAAAACGTAATTGTACTTAAATAAGGACAGCCGAGCAAGAATTGTATTCCAAGCCATCGATCAATCAGCTGGAGATAACTATAAAAATCTACGGTTTTCTTGCCTTTCAAGCGTACCAGCGTTCTGCGCGCTTCCCTGAAATTTCAGCATATCCGACAGTGAGATTCTCCTGCCTATGCACTATACTACAAGATATACAAAAGAATCAGTGAAATACCAGAATGGTTTACCCTGTCGCATGGCTTGTGGAAGCCCCTCCATAATCAGCTTGACGCACACTAAACTGACCACTGTGATATCAACAGGTACATGCTAACTGAGAAGGGAGTCAAGGAGCTGTCTTAGGAGATGACTAGTGTACCAACAGCATCCTGGAGCATTCTGCAGATCTACAAGTTTAGCAAGCTCTTAAGTATATGCATCAAACTGAAAGGTCGTTGCCTGTTTGGTTATAGACACCTAAGGATAGCTGGATGACTACCACTATTTATGCCGTCAGAACCAGGCCCGCCAACTACGGATGGTTAAAAGTTGCTGTGATCGGCGGTGATAATTAAGCCTTTACCGAAATGCGCTAAGAGAGTGTATCTCGTTTCCAATTAAGGCACTGCTGATGCCAGTTTGTTTTTCACATCCAAGTTTTGGCATCTTTGACCATGATGCTTTCTCTGAAGGCAATGAGCCCAAGTTCTTCAGTGGTATTACTCAAGATGGACGAGAAAGTTTACAGGACCACAGTACCAAACGCGAGTAAAACGCAGCTGGTTGTGTAAAAGTAAGGATACCAAATGCAGAGAAAAAGCGATACAAAAGTGAATCAAAGGGATATGAAGCGACTAAATCTCCAAAGATTATGTGTCCGAGAACCGCACTCGAACGAAATGGTATGCTAAAGTGAAGTCAGTCCAAATACCCATAGTATGAAGCCATCTTTGGGACAGTTTCAGTACCATCGGTTGAACTGTGTATGCTCAACTGCAACCAATTCTTCCGTTCCATTAGCAACGATCTGGTCGTAGATGGCTGCGTACAGCTGCATAGGATATCTCAAGGTTGGTAGACAAGAAAGTGGCGGAGCATACATGGGATATCCATGTGCTCTGCACTAAACTAGAGAACTTGATTCGGTCACTGATGGAAGGCTCTGTAAGCCTGAAAATGCCTGTACGCATCTCAGCGGCGAAGTTCAAGAACTTGGATAGCTTCCACACCTATACGTGGCCAGCAATAACCATATCACCATGTGGTTGTACGAAATTATTTGTGACAAATCGGTGCACTCGTTTGTTGAACAAATGAAGGGCATACTTCCTAGAATCGCTGAGATAACCACAACATAAGCGGACATTATTGTCAAACCAAGTTTGTGTTTCCCCGCGCACCCTAGGTTTTGCGAACTGATACGTATTGTGAAACTTGCAATAACAAGTCTGCTTTCTTTTTTCACCGACTAACTTCATTCACTGCTCACCTACCGATTATATGAACGCTATGCTTCTTGATGTCTTTGACCGCTTCGTTCCTAGTTACCTAAACGGTGATGAAGTTGTCAACACTGGACCTGCTAAATTAATCAGGAGAGACCATAGCCTTTGACTCATAATTGCTTACCTGTCTGTGGATTTCCTACTTTCTGAAAAGTTGCACTGTACAAGCAATGGGAAGCGACCGAATTCCGGCAACTCTTGCTGTACACTGGTCCAGTTGTTCACAAGAGTATTCTCCCCAAGAACAGTGTCAAACTTCTACCGGTTTATCTTTAGCTGCGTATTCACCTTCCCATCGTCATCTCCGTTTCTCGAATAAATGTATATACAAGTTATTGGTAGTATTTACTTATAGGCGCCGGAAACTAGATGGGTTAGAAAAGGTGGCGTGTTGTTTGTCTACAGCACTTGCCGGAAAACGTATTGTCTTGCGGCCTTCTGCATATCTTTTCAGCCTTCCATTATGAGGCCTTTATGTTCACATCAAAGTGCATGGTACACAGAACTACCTATCCTGTTAGACATATTTTTAAACACCTTCAGGAGTCACAACCGTAATTCAGGAACACCTCACGTTATTGTTTTAGTCATGATATCGGAGTTCCTTTGAAACTTGTGACAAACCAAAGACCACTATGTATACTTCGGCAAAGTTGCGCTTCCTAACCTCTGATCGGACAACAGTATTGGCTGGGGACTTTCCATGCACTGTAATAGACATGAAATATCGGGACATGCCCATTTTTCCAATTTCCCTCCCGTGTTTCTCTTCTGTTCGTCTATCCAGTTGATCCTCTTGCGCTGGACATTTTTGTGATTGACAGATTGCAAGCAGATGTAAGCAGCTGTCCTCAGCGTAAGTGTATACGCGAGTGTGCAATGCGTCCACGCAATAAAAAAGTTGCAATTTTTCCCTATTACGGTCTATACAGTAATGCTCTGGTTATCAACCCATTCGTCACACTGGAGTAGTTTTCTGGATTATACGGCACACCAGTAACTGGCCTGCGATTCCTATGCTTGCAGTCTAGTAAAGGTTTTTGAGGAAGAACTTTAGCAGTATGAAGTAATTAGTTCTTCAAGGACAGATTATAACTGGGATTCGGGACAAAAGCTCAATCCAAGGACTTCTATAAGGCCGTACGACTTCACTGAAAGCCACCAGCGGGGCCAGCGAAGTTAAAATGCGGAGGTGTTCAGACTTACGTTTAGCAAACACTCGGCCGAGCTAAATTCTCGGATGACTTAAAGAAAGTCACGTGCTCATGAAAAGAAATTCCAGCGTAATATTTAACCGTCCAATAAGTGTCAAATGCGTACGGTTATTCGAGGACTATTCAAAGGCTATTTAAACTGCAAATGTGGTAGTGCAGAAAACCGACGAACAATTCTGAGTGGTTGTTGGGCAGCTATGCAAGTGTTATACACTGGGGAAACAGGGATCCCTCGGCCAATTGTACTGCTAGGATGCTAGCAGCATGGTTGGAAAGAAGACACGGAATCTCCACGAGTCAAAGTGAGACAAGTCACAAACGGTAAATACAACACTTCGACCAGCAAATGAAACTCCAAAAAAATATCGGTGGCTGTCACAATCACTAACTGATCCAAAATAAATTCAAATACTTGGGGGCTTACCGCACGCCAACAGTTGGTCGATACTCTCCGGTTACTTGCTCAATGGCTTCCGAGAGAAAGTTGCACAAATAAGTTTTTCCACACTGAATTTAACGGTTAGCATAACGGAATTTAGTTACATCGGACGGACCGACCACCACAACCTTTATTCGATTCATGTGGATTAAAACAAAATCACAAAAACTGGTAATTGTGGTCGTAAATGAGCTTTCATGAACCTACAAAAGAAACCGTCAACAATTTAATCATTGTTGTGAAACCATAGAAACGACGCGGCACGATTTTGAAATGTGACCTTGAGAAAAGTTACATGGAGGGCGAGCAGTCGACAACGGAAAATGGCGAGGCGGAGAATGAAAGTAATTCTCAGCAAATGAATTCTGTAGGAGACATGATAGATCAATTGGAAAAATATGGGAATTTCGAAAACTCTGAAGGTTGATGCCGCTTTATTGGTGCCGTTACAATTTGTAGATTTTATCATCGTTGCTCAACCAAGTTGCGATATTCGGCCGAAAGCGCAGGTGCAAGATGTTGCGTTTGAACCTGCTGGTAGAAATGAATCTACTTTGTCATCTTCAAGTGCTTCTGGTGTCATCGAGTTAATCGAGAATCTGCACGATGAAAAGTTGGTTTCCAGCACCCAAGCTTCTCTTCTCAAAAATAAATACCTAAAAATTTACAGGATGCTTAATGAGTAAGTTCCCTGGCTTTGTGGACGAACCTCTCATTATTTGGGAACTATAGTGATATCTTTAAAAAAATACCCAAAATAATCCGCCATTGGTAGCTAAAGTCAGCCAAAGGTGACAAACAAAAATGTATTGCAACTTAGGTGAGTTTTGTTCAAAAGTTTTTTTCCAAATCCGTTGGGGCCAAGTGAGGCTACTGGTTTCAGCTTTAAACTGGCTGAGCCCAGTAAACACGTCACCGCGGCACCGCCGGTGGTGCCACTGGTGACGAAAAGCGGCCAAAAGTGGCAACCCAAAAATTTCCTGATGTATTTAATCGGTGGTGTATTCAAACAAATCGGTTTCAAAAATTACTTCGTAAATAGAGCTCCAGTATCCAGAGTATCCTGTTACATTTTTTTTCAGAAGGCTTTTATGCAACAAATGCTATGTTTGGCTTGTATTCACCAACAAAATCAGTGGCAAAGCTAGCCACCTTTGGCCAACGTTAGCCACCGGCGACACTGTGTTTACTGGGATTTTCCGTTTCTCGTCTAATTAAATAAAGTTGGTTACCACTGGGTTTATCCTAACTGGGTTCAAGATGGCGAATACCAGTTGTATGATTGAAGCATTGGTGATTATATAAGTGAAATCAAATAGAATGTAAAGGTTTTTTCCTAGCTGCAGTAACTTAAGCCTAGACACTCCAGATCAACGCTTTCTTCCTGCCCGAAACTCTGGTTATAACAGAACCAGTTTAATGACTTCTATGCAAGGACCTCTTAGTTAGTCTTGATGATTGTAGCCTCGTAAATACAGTTCAAAACAAACTTTTGTGTAAATGGGCATGTTGTGCAAATCTTGTACAGTTTGAATTCAAGTAAAACATAGCGTTGATGAAAACCCTGGGGCTGCGCCTGCGCGAAGAAGAAAGAACACGATTGCTCACGATCGGAGAATTTGAAAAAACATTATGAGGAGCGTTCGTGACAGACAGCATACTTTGATATCTGTAATACCATACCAAATGAAACATAAATCAGCCTGTGTGCAGCACATGTAGGTGAAGTATATCAGAAACACGCAGTAATCTCGGTTTACTGCGGTATCATATCGGTACGTAAATGGGTCTGCCAATGTTGTGAAATGTAGGTAGCTCGAGTGTTCTGCTTGGTTGTTGGTCTGTTTGCCGAGCTCGGCGAACGGATAATTAGTGAATTTGCTGTAGATTCTTCGCGTAAGTCTAGCGAATTCATGCTGAAATCCCATAAGCATTTTCAGCATAAACAAAACCTAAATCAAAAATTTCAAAATCTCCTCAAACTAGTAACAGTTATTAGTTAGTTTGCCGGAAATACCTTATGGAGCTCGAGATATCGGGCTATGCTATAGGACCTACACCGGTGTATGTTGTTTCATATGAGATGCACATTCCTCTCAAGACGCCTTTTTCTGAAATTCGCAAAATGGAAGCCATACATCAAGCAGTTGAACCTTTCGATAAAACACCTAGTATATTCCATCTCAAACCCTTTAGTCTCGCTAACACGTGTTTCAGGTCCCGTGATAGCGAATTCCGATTGGTTAATCAGGCAAAACAATATGCATTTGAACTTCGTAACCTTGAGGAGACACTTGCCAAGGCAGACAACTATCCGGAGTCGTACAACACGCAAGCGGACAAACTGCGAAAAGAGCTGCTCACCGCGGAAAATCAACTTCTGTGCTGCGAAGGAAGATGCGATGAACTTGGCTACATTATTGAAGGATTAAGAGATGAAGAGAGAATGTTGAGACGCGAATGCAAGAGAAAGCCAAAAGGAGAGGTAATTCATATGGGACTGTCGAAAGAGGCGGTACACTAATTGCTAGGTATTAATTATGCGCATTTAAGCCTAACCTATTGTTGAGCCGGTTTTTGCAATTTTTTGTATTTTGGTTAGGTCGTTCTCCAAGCTATCCTCTTAATGATGCTCAAAAATGAATGGAGGCAACTCTATCACGCTTTCGGACAATCACGTTGGATTATAAAAAATGTTCTTTCTTGAGAAATTACAGTATACTTGGGATTGTTGAGAAGCCTTTATGGACAGGCGTATCAAAATTTTTTAAACTTATACAAGACGAGGGTTTGACGACGGAATTTCTTTCTTGTCAAAGGTCTTCCGGTAACTTGACTCACTAAACACGTTCCAGTATCTACTTTATTGCAGAGCAGTCCAATGAAAAGGGTATGGAATTTGCTTTTTAATCAACTTCACATTGTCCCCATTTCCCTTTCATTTTCACAAAATTGCCTTAATTAGGGATTAAATACTAGCTACTACCAAGCTCAAAAAAATACCGACAACTTTCGAAGGTGTATACGATAATCTTATTTAGAAAAACTTATAATTTATTGCTTCACTCTGTAGCAAGAAAATTTAGTCAGCAATTATCTCACGTATTTACCAATATCATAATCTATCATTCTCAGTAAACTTTTGGGCTGCAAAGTAAACTAAATAACAGATTGTCATACACTTACTGCCTTTTGTTCTACAAAATTAAGTGGATAGTTGACAAAGTGGGCGACGCAAGACTTAACCAAAAGAGACGAAGTAGTCTGGATGAATTCAGGGTGATGTGGAAGTTACCCATCCTGCCGGGCAGGATCCACGCGGTCCTTCTTTTATTTGACCAGAACGGGAAAATTTATGGTTGCGGAGTGATGTGACTAGTATTCATAACATTAATTTTTATTCATTGTGCATTAGGGCAGTTGAGGGTGTTCAGTTAATAAACTTCCGAGCATTGACGAAATTTTCATGCAAAACTAAGTATACAGTATAAAGGTGGTTGAAAAAATCCAAGGATAAGTACGTGTGCGGCTGTTACTGTTGAGGGAAACGGTCCCCCTACAAACTTCCGCATGTAACTCCAAGAAATTTAACCACGCCTACACTGGTTTGTGTTAGTATTAATGACTTAATTCTGTAAGTACACACCTCATCGTTTAGCCTCGGCATAGGTTTGCGGAAAATCCACTCTACTACGACTAAGAGTAGTTACAGTTCGCTACAATTTGAATGGATTGTATCTTCGCAAGCTAATTTATTTGGAGGATTATACTTTGAGCAGAAAACCTCCTAAGCATTGCACAGTGTTGAGGTAAACAGGAGATTCTAGTAGCTATCTTCAGTTGCAGTAATAACCCCAAATGTTTCAGGTCTAACACCCCAACTGGTCACCTATTTCTGCAGCACATTCTTGCCTTCAGAAATATTTAATCAATTAGGCTACATCATCTATTGTAGCTATTTTAAAGCTATGCCCTAGGAGGACGCTACAACTGAACAAATATTTCTGCTTTTTAATATGGTTTCCATAGTTTCTTCCCTTCTCCTCCATCCTTTTGTTTGACGTAGTTCATTCTAGATTTGTGAGAGAAATACGTGGCATTTTTTTAGGTCATCCCTAGATTCTCATTCCTCTTTTGTGGCAAAGTTGTGAAAATCAGCTCCAGTCTATCACTAAAAATGTGACGGAGTCTGTGATTTGTCCAAGATCTGCCTTGTTGTTGTTGTAGGGAACTTGTATTTACACACAAAGTTACCAGCTTCCACCTCCAATGCGCAGCTACTTACCCCACCTTCCCAAGTCATCAGTGAACGAAACTGTGGCAGCTACAACCACTGTACGATAAGGACGCGGTTCTTACAGCTAACAATGATGATGATGTTGGCGCAATTCGTCCTACTGTGCAGAGTTCCTGCTCAAGTATGCGGAAAAAAATTAACCAATGTGGTTATCATCTCGTTGACTCTGCTATTGTGTTAAAGGATATGATAACATCTATACTTCTTGATCGTCGAAAGTATCTTGTAGTCATTTGTGATCGGCTTAGGAATTTTTCACCTTCTGTTTATTTACTGTACGAAAGGAGCTTGAAACTCAGCGAATTCAACTCGAGCGAACCATTGAGGAATTACAAGCAGAGAAACTAAAACATACAAACGATGGAAAGCATTTGATTCAAACTCTCAGAGAAGAACGGGATGCACTTGCAGAAGAAGAACAACTGGCCAACAATACCTACGAGCAGCTGCAATCCTTGAAGGTGAGCCAGAGTTCTTTCATTTTACTCTTTTGAGCGTGTCTAACCCACTTAGAGGACTGTTTAGTTACTCGATCAAAAATTCCTTGTGAAGGCTTGATATGCATATATCAAGACCAGAGAAAAATACCTGCATGTGTCTTCGTGAAGGCTGGTAACACAGCAATCAAGGCATTATCCGGAAGTGTCAAGGGACGCAGCATTCAAATTCATAATGAAGCTCCATCCCAGACACTGACACAATTTGATTGATTTTTCGCAGCGGCAAAAGTGGATGAAAACATAATATGTTTTAGAGAAATATACTCATTTTTATACCATTTTCGTTTTGACGGAGGACTCATCTGGGATCCAGCTGATTTCTTCGTTCAAGTAAGCCTTGAAATGTGAGGCTTACTAAATTAACAGAAGGATGTCAGAGTTTTGATTCATCCCCAGCGCTGTACTCCCCAGAAGTTTGCCTCAACGCCTGAAAAAGTGATGACGCTTGCTGGCGAAATGCACGTGAATATTAAATGCAGAATTTTGACCGAGGGTGGTGGTTGTAGTTGCTCGTCACATATGGCGCTCGATCAGTAAATGGAGGGTGGGTGATTTCGTTGCTAAAGCCATTAAGGGGCATACAAAGACGTTACTCTCAACTCAAAGGGTGATCGTTAGCTCTATGTATGTCCAGATTAAGCTGAAAGTTTTATTATGATCAGATTGTGGCAATTCTACTTACTGGATAGTGATGGTAGTTTAGTAAATTGTACATGCAAGCTCGTCAAATTTTCTCGAATGATGAATGACTAATACCCATGGAACTATTCCGCGTGCACCCTGCATCCAATCATATTATCTGTAGTTCCAAAAGGAGTTGCTCGCCAGAGGTTTTTGTAACTGTTACCATTCAAGTTGGTGATATTATGTTGCAGACATTGAATACAAAGCATCAAGTGATGAGATCATGTACTTGTGGGCAAGTAAAAATTATGGGCTACAACAACGCATATACATTAGCCCATCTCGAGGCAAATCATCTACAAGAGCAATCGCTTCTCAGAAGGTGTTGCTTTCGATTGGTCCTTTGGGGCTTATTCTTTTGAAAAAAGTCCTCAACAGAGAAAACAAGTGGAGATTGATCATTTGGTCTCGAAATTTAACCCCTCAGAATGAAGGTTGACTTCAAGGTTGACTTTGTTAACGCTGAATTTTGTATTAGCAGGCTGTTTTCTTTCGGTAATAATCCCTCAAAACTGCTCGTTAAAATTTTGAGTAATCAGTTTATCAATGCTTCTTCACTTGTTCTCAACACGATCCTGCACGATCCTTATCGCCTGCTAAGTGCTGAACTACGAAACCGTCTATCCTTGCGCCTATTAAAGAGTGCTGGCATCCCTTTGTACATCAGAAGCTCTGCTAACAAAAACTCCGCAGGCCTTATAAGTCTCGACTCAAGACTCAACCTGTGTCTTTTAACTGTGAGAACTTGAGTCAGTTAAGCTATTAGTTCAAGCGCGTTTACTCCGTTTCCTATTCAACACATTATTCTTTCTTTACATACTGGTGTGCAGTCAGATTCTTTGGTTGTAAATCCCTTAAACTGTTCACATGAAAATTTTCCGGTAATGACAAGCGAAGACAACCCATCTTCTTATCTGTTCTGGCTATTTACCCTTCAAGGGAATATCAGTATTTGTCTAGTGAGTCAGTATTCGTTGTTTTTTGGTTTCAAAAACTTCTTTTTTTAAATATTATCTGGCCGTAATTTTGGGACAATCAATGATTCCGCATGCTTTTCAGGACGAATTGAGTGGTACAAATTCAGTGCCTATTCGGTGCCAGAAAAAGTGTGCGAAGATTGAGAAGCAACAATTGTGAGTTGTGGTTGAACACATTTTCTGGATAGTACGTTTGCTTGGCACTTGAAATACCGTTGCTACTCAAGTGCACTCGTGTCAAAGCTAGTGAAAAGTGTTACAAACTGTCATAAGAAATGGGATTTTTGAGTCACCCTGTTCTGCGTTTAACAAACGTTACTCAACACTAGCCGCAGGCCCACGCAATCTCAACAAAAAGACTGTTTTCCTGAGAAACGCTAGACTATGTCGAATCAATCAAATTTACGGTGTAGAAGGCCCGTAAGTGCATCCTAAAGCTATACTTCATTCCAAACTCGATAGTATTTCTAATGTACCTGCCTCAATGCTACGAGAGGTTTCGATTTCATGGACATCAATGTAAACTCCTAGAGTGTACAAACGCCGTGGTAACATTTCTGTAATTCATCCTCATAAAGGAAGTTTCAGAAGTAGGGCAACATTTTGGAATCACCGAACACTCTGTCAGTGAAGCTAAACCAGGATAAACGACACAGCAAATCATTTCAAATGCTGCGGTCGCTCATAATGACCTAATTACAGTATCACACTAAACGATTACTGGTCACTTCTGGGGACGCCAATTTTGTAATTGAATCTAACGTATTTTAGACCTGTATGATTTCTGTGCCAGAAAAAACGTCACACCATATCGCTTGTTTGATTTTCGTTTCAAATCGTCTTTAAGCAAGTGTGCAGTGATGAGTTCATCAAAACTAGCGATGAAGAAGAACAGAACAAAAATTGGGGTGAGCTAGCAGGACTATCAATGTACTTTGGTGTGAAAGATAGCTGAAAGTTTTTCTGGTTTATACCCACAGAAGAATTCATGTCTCTGGAAGTGTACAATTTTATGCTTGAAATATTCTCATACTTTTAACTACTGCTACGAGTTGGTTGAAATGATGTTTTTTTATTAATACAGCTGTTTCTAACTTCAAGCATTGGTCTCTATTTGACGGGAAAATCTAATTTCTTATTAGGTAAAGCAGTTGTCCACGTGAAAGCGTGTACATGTGAAGATGTGGTATTCTGACTCCAAAGTGAAAAACAAAGCATAGCCCTACGAAACGCAGTGAGTGGGGACTCTTCCCATCTCTTATTCTAAATGAGCTCTAGAGTATTGCATTATGGCAGCGTGTGTTCGTTAAAAACCTGCAAACATAATACTGGTGCAGTCAGATTATCATAATATCAGAAATCTTCCTTCTCCAGTTTACTCAGTTCATCTATACGACCTTTCATTCTCCATTTTGAGGGCTGGTGAATTCTTAAATCTCGATTGTCATTCCTACTACATGACGATATAATTCAGTCGACGAAAGCCAATTGTGCAAATTTGTGTGTATCCATTTTGTCACAAATACTGTGAAACGATTCAACAACTAACCAAGCCTGAGTGTATATTCCATTGCATCGATAACGATGTCCCCTGAAGAACCTAGCCTCAAATGACTCGTCTGAGTAACAGTGAATTCATCATTAACTAATTCCTCTATTGCATAATTCGTTTCTTAGGAAAATTTGTGCTCATTTGCTGTGGGGGCCAAATTCTGCTTCTATTTATAGGTGTAAGAAATACTCTACCTGACAGACACTTGGAGTTATTAGTATCGAAGTTCAGTTCAGCTCTGTTTGTCGGCTACAAACCATGGGTAGAGTGCTTTCAGTTTTGATCATCAGACAATGGGACAGCGCGGGAGATATAATCATGCATCTGAGACGGTGGCATGAACAGTTAGTTCCCATTGTATACCGTCCTAAAATATAGAGAAACTGAGCAGCTATACGATAAAATGGACAGCTTTGATGCACCAGCGCCATTGGCTGCGTGATTCAGCCATGTCTATCACCATATCTGTCGCTCACCACTGCTGAGGTGAGTGAGATGAGTCCCAGCCAGAGAGGCGGCGAGTGTCATCCTGACTGATGATGATGAATCTATAAACCGTAAGCAATCCACCCATCGGAGAGGGTTCATTCTTCCAAAAAATATATGGCTCGCCTCAGGATAGCTAATTCAATGTCTCTAGCAGACCCAGCGTCAAATTTAAAAAAGCTTTTATAGGTTCTTTGCATGTGGGAACCATATTTACTATGCATAAAGTAGCATAAATTACTACGTTGCGGAATATACTCAGCCCTTGAGCGACGAACTGACGCGGCGCTGGTGCCACAGGGGTCAAAAATTGAGGAAACTGCTTTGGACTTCTTGGTTGTATAAGTAATCGCATCTACAGCCAACTGATCGGGAGTTATGCAGCCTTAAAGGTAAAAAAATCTATCTATTAGGTCGACTGTTTGTTCTGAAGGCATGAGACTTAGGTATTGTATCAGCATTTTACGCTTTGTGGGGTATGAAGCGCACAGAAACCTTGCGGCAAAAGTATTCAGGTTATTTATTTATGTATTTATCCACCAAACAGCTGGTTACTGCTTGTAACATTTCGCGCTGCATTCTTTTCCTTGCATTCCGAAACCAACGAGTACTGGAATCTGACAGAGGTTTATTACGCGCATAGCGGATTGAAATGCACGGGGTGTATCACAGTCAAAATAATGGTAGTTGTTTTATTTGCCCAACGAGTGTGGCAGTATGTTTACATTGTCTTCTTCATCACTGCGGAGACAATGCTATTGCACAACGAATTGCACACAAATGGTGACAAGTTGTTTGAAAAACTTGTTAGACTTAACTACGAATGATACACCTCAATTGCCGGGTGAGGCTAAACAGAATACAATGGTTTTAACTTTTTTCAGGGAGGCGAAACAGCTTTTTGATGATTCAGTCGCTGAACATAGCCGTCTGCAGGAGGAATTGGACACACTGGATTCTTGCCGAGTACAGCTGGAAATGGAAAGTGCCAAGCTGAGCAGGTGAGATTATTCCGTAAAATCATACGGTAGTCTGGGCCTTGGGAACTTTAAGCATGGCTAGCATAGAGTACACATCCATTCACGACGCTTGAGAAACTCTTCTGTAAACATCGAAAATTAAATCATTAGTGCTCAAATCCGTTAAGGTTTAGTAAACAACTATGACCTGCAACCACAACCAGTCCCATAGGAAGACTTTTTTGTGGAATATCGAGTTCCCTCGTCGACAAAGGCGCTTCGTCTTGAGGAGGTAGCTGGTATGCGTGATTTACTTGCCACATGGTCGACCAAATTTCTACAGTTTTCACTAGCTTTCTAAGGCACTTTTAAAACTGCAGTGATAATTCAGCCACAATCCAGTATGAATTTTCTGTATGTTTCCACAATTGTTAATTGGGCCACACTGGCCCTAACACGGAACATTAGGTAGAGACCAGGTAGAAGATTACTATTATTGGAAAGGTGCCACAACGGAGACGTGTCAAACACTAAAACGAAAGTTACGCTAAGCGACTGCAACAAGTCAACAGAAGTAATTTCCTCTTTATATCCTTCTAAAGGCTATCTAATGACGGCTGACAACCTCTGTGTCTCTCTTCTGTTGGATGCAGGTCCCAAAGGGCTGTACACCTTTTGAATTTTCATTTTTCTGTGATTGCCCAGAATTTCTAGTTGCTACAGTGGGTACATAACCTTCTGTAACAAATCTGGGGGCCAGTTGGATTTGTGATTAAAGCGCGAATTTACTGACCGGAAGAACTGTGATTCACATCCAGCCTTTTCATCTCGACTTCTCCCGTCTAAGCTTGGAAAATCTAGCGGTATCTCAACCCTTGCATTTCATTCGAGTGGCGTGGCAGCTAGGCACCGAAAGGGTGAAGCAGCTGAACGACTTTTTGTAGAACAAAGCCACTTTAAAGCATATTATGGAAATCCTACCCCAAAATAAACGACTTTATCTTCGCCAAACTTTTGGTGGCATCTTTCGCATCTTTGAATAACCCAAGATATTACTACCTTGCCTGGAATGAGAGACGTTTACACCTATCCCACAATTGGTTTTGATATCGGGTTGGTATATTTACGAATCGTGATCGTTGGTAATGAGCTACATGTCCTGTTACATTTTGAAGAAAGCGCGGTCTTCTCTAGTGAAAGATTTTATGTTCATTATGACCATAGCAAACAGAAGAACACCGGTTAGTTGGATGGTGTAAGACATCATCATCATTTTCAGCTTTAAGAACCTTGTACTTGTCGTACAGTGGTTTTAACTGACACAATTTCGTTCACCGATAATATGGAGAGATGAGGTAGATATCTGCACACTGGAAGTGGTAGCTGATAAATTGGTGCGTAAATATGACATTGTCAATGGACTGTCAAGCGGGAGATTAGGAAGGGACCTATGAATTGGAGGCAATAGATTGGATGAACGAGCGCCATTGAGGGCGCAACTGGGCCATGTCTGACAATGCCTGTCTCGGCAGTGACCAGCACAGCTAAGTTTGATGACAATGGCTTTTGTACTTCGCTGCCAAGTCATTGTTTGATCTTCTCTGGCTCGTTCCCACCCTTCACATGGTTGTGCGAAAAGAACCCTTCGAGGAAGTCGGTCGACTTGCACACGCAGCACGTGGCTTAGCCAGTGCAACCGATGCAGTGTGATCAGTTCATCTATTGAGGGTGAGTTATTTCTTCCAAATACCATCCGACGTACTTCAGCATTGCTCAAACAAACCTGCTCACAGTCACCAATCACTGATACTTCCTTGATAGATAAGCCACCATTCTGGGGAGTTTGAATACTGGATCAAATAACCCCCCGGCCGATTGGCTGTCAATGTATTCCCACCATAACAAACCTGGGCTGATCAAACATTAAGTCACCTTCCATCCAGTCAGATAATCTAGCCAAACAATGCGTAAAATTTTGGCAGCAGTTTCATAGATGTGACCTTCGCCATACGATAATGTCTGTTTGTGATTTTCTGTTTTTTATATGATAGGGGTGGCGTTTCAAAATGGTTGAGCAGAGATCCAGTAGGTTCTCAGTAAAAAGTCTTAAACTTTTCTTGTGCATTCCGTCTACATTTTTAGACAGTATGCCAAAAGGCACAGAAAAATCTACGATATGCAATCAGATTACGACGCAGCTACAGTTGAACTAGAAGAGGCGCAGCAGAAGGCCGCTGAATATGCACTACAGAAGTGAGACTGACCTGTAGCCTATTATGTGATATTTTGTAAAACCTGTTACTGAAAACTGAGATTTTGCGTAACATGAAACACTTAACACTACCTTATCTCGACTCCTCTTTCATAAACTCCACTGATTTTCTGTCCTTTTATCAACCTTTTGTCAACCTGGCACTTCTTTCCCTAACAGTAAGTTCAAATCCCTTTCATTTGAATGCATATCCTGAATGGGTCTGTGAGTTGGATGTTATCATCTGATCCAGAAACGTTAGTATTGACACTGGTGCCTCACATGGGCCCCTTTCCCGATAAGTGGACCGCATAAACAACGTCCAAACTCTTAGTGATCCCTTCTTCCCCTTCCTGTTAAGTCATGCGTTATCCACCTTGCCGTTTGTGTCATTGTCTGGCCCCAAACATCTGGGGAGACAGAAGTTACGAATTCTTATCGTGTTGATGGACTGATTTATGGAAGTGATAGGTACTGTGGCGCCGACCCCGTGAGCGGCATGAAATAAAATACATAATAATCCGTCAACTTTCGATATATGGAAAACAAATGGAGGATGTGCAAGCATCACATATACCAGGCTCAGGTATGAGCAGTCCATAAGCCAGAGTTGGGTTTTAACAAAAGCGACAAATTATGATTTGCGATGCTTCAGCTGTTTTTCAACTTCGAGCCCAGTGATATTCAGGGTCAAACTCAGTCTAGCCTGTCACGTATATCCATGTTTATACTTTGTATTTATTCGTTTGAAATATTCTGTGTAATAATACCCCACAATAGTATTTGTGGCAAAGTGATGTTCTTTATTAGTTTCATATGGTTTGTGTGCAGACTAGTCCGAGATGGACCAGGTTGCCTGGAGATGGCTATAAATTTTATGAATTTGCACCAGTTTTGTGCAACTTTGTCCACAACTTCCAAAACCTCAAGGCTGGATTTGTGCGCATCTACTGTTTCTTGGGGCCCTTTTTCGAGTGAATTTACGCCATTTGTCTATCACCTGATATCTTTTATGTCCACGAAAAATGGAAGAATAATTACGTATATGTGTCGCTTGTCCAATAGTTGTCAGGACCTCTAAGCTGTCCTAATATCACTCACTGTGTGGCAGATGCTGCAACTCTAAGGACTATTCTTTAGTGTAAGTAAGAACGCTGTAACGATTGCAAGAGAACAAGGTATCGCAGGCTTGTAAAAATGTTCCTGCTTGTAACAATACTGGTGAGATGAACATTGTGACAGGCTGCTATGACCGGAACAACTTCAACTGTTTCCTGTTACATTCATTGAAGAACTGAAATGGAATTGAATATGAAGCACTTGAGGAGCGAGAGGATGCGCCTGGGTGAGCAGCTAAAGTCCATCACACGAGAACGCGACAATGCAGTTCGCGGAGTCAGAAAATCGGAAATTGGCCTTCGAGGACTTCGTGATGCTATCAAGTTCCAGAAGGCCCTCTGCACGGAGAAGAAGAACGCCTGTGAACAGATGAGGCAGATGGGATCCGATAAGGAGTTGATGAAGCGCCGTGCGCTGTTGCTCAAACAAGTGATAGACAAACAAAATGAGTTGATTGGGCAAGTGAGTTCTCAACACCTTAGGAAGTTTATTTGTGATCACTTATGTCTAGTAACATTAGTATACATGCTATCGAACAATCAACCTAGACGTCCGATAATCTAAATGAACTCTTGTGATCCTCACGCAATATTGTAATACAGGTTCAAGTTACATTTAGCAGAGCAATTAAAGTAAAATAACCTTTCATTTGATGTTTCCCCTCCAGGATTAGGTGTCACGTTTGAATATCCTGTTCACGAAAAGCTTCTACGCGATTCTCATATCCCGGAGAAATTTTGTCACGTGGACACACCATTTAAATCACACCAGAAAAAAACATTTTTTCTGCCAAGACCGTTGTACGGACGCTCAACTTCATGCCATCGATTTTCGCAGAAAAACAAAAGAAGAAAAATTTCCCCTAAGTACATATATGCATACGGAGCTGTCTACAGCAGCCGTGTGCTGTGTGTAGATCCGCCTCTCTACTTTTCTTGTAGTAAGGATCATTAAATGAGAAAATTTCTATCCAGAAATTCCAACTGGAAGGAATTCATAATTGCAACAGCTAGGGGCGCGAGTGGCTACGGGAAGACTTAGCATACATACAGGCAAAATTGCCAAAAGGTGGATTCCTAAACGCTTGAATACAAGCTAAGTAGAGAAGATTTGAATTTCGTCCAAAAACTGTGGAAAAACCAGCGCCCAGAGACTTAGTACTTATAACTACTAGCACGTCACATACTAGACAGGCTCGAATTACATAGGACGAGTAGGTTAATTCACATTTGCCAACTCACGAGGAGTGTAACAGTCAAATTCCAGAGAAGGCCCTCCTTTCCGTTAGTGCGGAAGGAGTCAAATCTTGCCCGATCGGTACCTGGTAACAAATTGAGGACCATAGCTCAGAACTCATAGAACACGGAGAGCCAAAGACTATCTGTCCTCTATGAACTGAGAATCACTTAGCCCAAACAATGGCGAGCTTTCACTTGAGTCCTGTTGGAATCTTTAATTACCACGTGGTTTCAATAAGCTAACCGTAGCCTAATTTAAACTTCGGAATGACATTCCGCATTCTTCTACAACTATCCATGGTATACGTGCTTCAAACTCATCCAAATCCATCTAAAAAATTCAGCGGTATTTTAGCGAAACAACACAATGTACTTTTCATTTGGTTACTTCTAGTAAGTTGACAGTCACCCAAAACAAACACCCTTAATTCACTCACTTAAAGAAATAACAGTTAGGCTACTTTCTTGTCTTCTTGATGCGATTTCCAAAGTTCACTTGATTTTGAATTCACTACGATACGAGTACGTTTACGCACCTTGGTCGCCACTAACAAGCATAAGTACATCCTCCTAATCTATTCTCTTGCGTTCGTCTTGTCCATTAGAAGAGGTTGCATACTATCTGTGCTATCGGTATTACGAATGTTGTCTTGTGCCGACAGGCACTCGCGATTTAATTTCATCACCCACCTGAAACTTTTGGACTCTCTCTTTCTCTGTTAAAGTGTAACCTGTCTGAATCGGAAAAGAACAATCTTGAGAGGCTACTAAAAACAGAGAGCAAACTTAAACAGCAGCTGGCCGATTTGGTCACAGAAACGGTTGAACTGTCACGGTTGGCCACAGCCAAAGCTGAAGAGAGAGAGATAAAGTCACGAGAACTTCAGACGGCGACTGTACGTTATGCACGCATTCGAGATGAAATCAAATCAAAGGAACTGCAAATTATGGAATATGAGAAGTCACTGCGTAATACGCAGGTATGTGTTCTTGTTGTGCCTACCGTTACTTGGTAGTATAATTACCGTGCGGATTGTTTGGCCCTATCTGGTATATGCCTTAAAATTAGAAAGCTAACCCACATTAGAATAGTCATGTAATTTTTTAACTTCCCCTTCGCCTTCTCTGAAGAGCTGAATTTCTGATAACACTTTAGTGAAGAGACGTGGATGCAGAAGTAAGCAGTAAATTGCTTCAGGAAACCACTCACTGAAATCGGAGTGAATGAAAGAATACCTCGGAATGATGATCCTGATACACAAGGCATGCTCAAGTATCCGGCAATGCTTCAGCCTTCGTACTTCCCCTGAGCCACATGACAATCATTCACCGAAAGGAATTAGTTGAAAACTACCCAGAACAGTATTAAAGCCATTACCAGTAGACTCAGCTGCGCTGGTCATTGCCGTCTTCCGGATGGGGACCTCATGGCGGGCCATATCAATGGTTAAAGACATTGTCGAACTAGGCTTAGGCACTCCCTCAGTGGAGCTCAATAATCCAAGCTATTGCCTTCAGTGCATAGCTCCCTTCCCAATCCCCTTACTTAAAAGTTCACTGACGGTTGGTGGTCGTTGGCTTGTTCGCTGAGCTGGGCAATTTGATTGCAAACGTTTCATCACCAATCGAGGTGACATCATCAGTGCGTTATTGTGGAGCGTAGTAGTGCGTAGCGGTGGGTTGGTGGTTGTGCGTTGGGTAGTGTTGTGCGTGTGTTAATATACGTGCTGCTAACAGGGGATGACCTTTGGTCGCGATTAGTCCACTGACAGTGCCGTATTTACGCGCTAATGTATCAGCTCCCGCCTCCAATGCGCAGCTACCTACCCAACCTTCCCGAATCATCGTTGAACGAAACTGTGGCAGCTACAACCACTGTACGAAAAGTACGCGGTCAATACAACTGACTGATTATTTGAAATTTTTATGAGGTGACCACAGAGATGACTGGCATGCATCCTACAAAAATCGCATAGTGCGGCATCCCTAGAAAAAAATTGTGTGGCATTCCATATGGATCATAGGTCTGATAGCCGTAACCACTTTGATTGCTTGTATCTGTGGCAGGTAGTTTCATACCAGAAAACGTTTTTGTCCCTGCTTCACGAACCTGGTCATAACGGTTCTTGCAACTGTAATTTACGAAAAAACGGCCGATTTGATCGAATAAGTGGTCCAAAATAATAGCTCCCTGTGGCTGATACTACTGCGCAGAGAATCAGGCAGACACATTCTTCCCGCTTCCAAACTCATGAAAGCACTCGCAAAAAAATAGTTTAAAGAGAGCCTTCCATTTCTTGCAGCCAGCGAATGTGCTGCATCAAAGCTTCCGACATCCCTGTGTAGCTCTCCCAGTACCTACTACATCGGACAAACAAAACAATCGAATGTCGAATAACCGTTTTAACCTTCGCCGTCAACGCTTGACTCTCACACTCTTATTCACCTCATTCTTGAGAAACGAAGCTAAACCACCTGAAACCATTGCAGTTTGGTGCAGGTTACGTTAACTGGGAAAAATGGAACAGGTTATAAAAACCGGCGGACGGACATGTAGTACTGGGTTAGCAGCTTGAGACAGTTACTCAAATCATCAGTTCGCAGAAGCCTGTGTGCTTACTTGACAAATCCCGAAGACGTGCCAAGCCCTCATGCGATTGATTTGAAAGATTAAATCCTATGCTACCAACTATGAGAGAACTACCTGATGGAGTATTATACCCTCTTCTGTCCCAGCAAGAAGTAAATGCAGTGCTACCCATATTACCCACATGAATACATTACATCATATTGTGAAGTGAACGATTGATAATTAGATAGTCCTATAAAGGCTCCTTGAATAATGTGGAACCTGAATTGACTGCAATGCTGTATTCATGTTTATATCCTTTGCATAGAAAATGTACGTCTTGCCTCAACAAGAGCGCGTAAGCGGAATCCCCAAAGTGGTCCGGTTTGTTTAGCAAGGACAAGAGACACAGAGACTCTCAGTTGGATTACAGCATAAGACGCTAATAAGGATGACAGTAACGACAAGAGTAGTTTTCAGAATGATTATAGGAATGATCAAGATAAAGTTAATGATACTATCGATACTGACCGCTGTCTTAGCGTCCACTCCCTTGATCGCGTCAATTACAGGGTTTCTTTCCGAGAAACCACACTGACGAGTTCAGTTATCTGCAACATATACATTGAATCCACTTCTGAATGTGAAGCCCGTGCTAGGAGGAAATTTCTCCCATACATCCGAGGCTAACTTTCTGAGTTTTTGGATAGTTCACAGCTCTAAAGTGCACCTGACAGGGTTTTGCATCCGGAAATCGCTCCTCATGACTTTTTTTAAATATTTTGTTACCCATACCTCAGAATATTTATGGAACTTGGTTATCTTTACAGTCGGAAGGGCTCAGACACGTGCTCCCGCCAGTGGTACTCACTCACACTATACATGCTTTCGGACAGATAAACGTTATTATCAGGTCGCTTATATATCCAATGGCGGAAATAATTGCATCCTGATCTAATATGTTAGTAGGGACTTATATACCTTCTTTATTATTGGTGGTTTTTTTATGAATGTTTTCTATTTTTGTTTGTCGGAACACTCTATATGTTTTTGTTATGAGCCCACTTGTTCATTCTCTTATTTGATCAGAAACAACTAACGGATTTCTCCAATCTCTATAATGCGATAAGAGAAGAGCGCAACAACTGCATGAATCTGATTCAGTTGGCTCAACAAAAAATGCAAGAGATGCAAGAAAAACTCGGAATGCGCACAAATGACTTGAAGGTACTACAGAACACATCAAGACGGACGGTGGAGTTGATCGGCCAGCAACGAATCAAAATCAAAGAGGCTCTGCATGAAAGGGATCAGATTCGACAAGAATTGTCCAAACAGGTAAGACAAACAAACAGTGTCACTTTTTGTACTAACAAAGCGTACGATTTAGTTCATTAGTGAGTGATCATCACCGCAGCGTGTACTGAACATTTCTGGAAATACATGAGACATTTAAATGTTTGCAGTCATAAACCTCCAGCGTAAGCTGTGTTCCTTATTGCTATAGATTTAACACTCCATTTCATTTCTTGGCCTATGGATGTTTTCACCATGTTATGGCGTTTGAGACCAATCGAGATTGACCAATCTGTATGACGAATTAGGATCCACAGATTTTTCACCTGATATGAAATATTTTTTAATCTATTGCTAGCTGGACCTTCTTAGTGCTGAAGTATTATTTGAGAAAATAACTGTTATTTGATGCACGTTTTAACATGCTTGATCACTTATTACCATTGTGCAACTCTATATTTGTTTAGATTGAAGCTGATCACCTGTGGGAGTTTTTTGTGAAAAGAATGCGTGTTAGTTAGAGAATTTCCGGTACCAAAAGTAGCAGCTATAGAAAAAGCTTCGGACCAATTCAGTGAAAAAAATTGGGAATTTTCTGTTGATACTTTGATCCACCGATGTGAAAATGAATACAACCAGATAGGTTTTGATGGCAACATTAACCACATACGACTGACTCAATTTGAACCCTTTGAATAAATCTGAGCATCGTAACGACAAAATCCGTTACCACAAACTTTCCCGCAGCGAACAGATGTTCCGCAAAGTTTACGCAAAGACTCTGGGGGGACTTCCCTTATGAGGAAGCGGAATACAGTTGTTCTTGTTCTAACAACCTATCGTTGCAACGAAAAGTTTAGTTTTGAAACTGTTGCCGTTGTTCGAAAGATGACTGCATATTTGCAGGCCAGTGTAATATTATGAAATATGTGCAAGCTAGCCAAAAACATTTTAGTGACCTACCAGAAATGTATCGTTGCGGAATACTTCTCCGAAGCAAACACTTTCGATGTATCCGAGAATTCATTTTGGATACAAGTGTTTCCTTCTAAGGGAGGCAATAAAATGGATCTCCGTGTTTCTGAATTGCATGCAGAGGTTCCCTTTTTATCAGTGCCTTTTGTGAGGGCCAGCTAGAATGTTAAAGTACATCTAAAGCGAATATTTGTAGATATTCAGCACTCAGGGATTCATAGATATTGAACCTATGAGGCCCAAACGCCGGAATATAAGTAAGGCGGAAAAGTAACCTGACTGAAGTCGTTAGCTCACACAAATGAGATCATTAGAACCTAGTGGATTTTTAGTATAAATCAGCTATCAAGGAAAACACATTCATTTTTAACAGCAAAAACAATTATGATAGTTAAGACGTCAAGAAATTGAACCAAGTGTGCTGCTTCATCCTATTCTTCAAATAGGTCATCACTTATGCCATGTTTTAGTAAATTCTTCTGTGCGCATACACAAGGTAAATTATTGGTTCAACCGGCCAATGCGCTGCGTTGGTTAATCAACAGTGCTTGCGATTTGATGGCCATAAGTTGAAGCTGCGAGAGTGTTACTAGCCACTTACATCACCACTTCTGTGAGCGAGTAAACCAACCATCCTAGGACCCAGAAGACATCTGAATTCTGGTTCTGAGTGTTAAATCCTTGATGTGCGATTGTTAAGGAGTTGCATGCCTCAAGATGAGGTTAACAGCTATGAGAACAGTGACCAAACAGACCAGAGAGCAACATGCAACAATAACTTATGGCGCAAAAAATAACAGCAAAGCGCTAAATGGCTTGTTGTGACCCAAAGAAGCTCAGCAATGAATGGGCGCAAAGACTGGCCACACCAGTGAGCTTTCCAGCGAACCACGAACAAGAACAATCGATCTGCAAATACCGGAGGTATGCACAGTAACGATTCCCCCGTTTTACCGCCCGAGGTGTCGGGACAGCAAGTGAACACGTACAGCAAGCAGGATCGCATTTCTGAATCCAGACAGAACATAAACGATTGCTTGAAAGAACCAGTGTGCGTGTGCGAGTAATTGTCACGTTGACCAGTTTCTGGCTACAGTGTAAGTGCAAACTGCAACACTTAATCAAAGTTTTACGGGGATCTCTAGTGTGACCGTGATTCTCCAAAATGTCCTGACTGAATTCGCTATTGAGACACTTGACGTTACCTATGATTCGCCTTTTGAAACGTCCGCGTATTTCTTTGTAAATACAGGCTTTGGTGTGCATGTCAGCACCGGACGAGCAGCCAATCATTAGGCATTCGCACGAAGTGATTTTACCTCTTTCCAAAATGAAAATGACCATTATCGATGATCTGGATGTTATTTCCTTTGCTGCTGGCCCAGATCCGAACCCACCTAATGAAGGATGTTCCTAACACCCAACCAAGTTTAGGATGTATGAGGCACACGACTGGTGGTGTCACATATTCACAGGGTCATTAGTAAACTGGATTCCAACGCGGACGTCGTGACCATCCTAAGACCGCGCCAAATTTGTCTGACTTGCAGATTTGAAGTTGTTTCTGTTGATTTTTACGGTTTAGTCGACAACGACGCACCGACTGATACGAACACACCTAACAGGTTTTCATCATCAGGCTGCACAGAATCCATTGAGTCAGCCAACTACTGCGAGTTTTTAAGTGCTATCTGTTCCTCAAGTATCGTTCCAAAGGGTGTCAGCACCTAAACTTCCAGCTTTCTTGTGGAATATAGGTTCTGTTACCCAAATGAGTCCCAGAAATCTCTTTATAGCGTAGACTTACCTCAGCACTTAATGAACTTGCAACCTAGTTCCCCCAATGCTTGCTTTCCCAAGGCGTACATGTACACAGCTCTGTCTGATCATTATACGAGTATAGTAATGTCTATGGTGCTCTGGAAATTGCTATATAATATTCCGTTTCCGTGACTACTAAGTTTTCTCCTTTTCCGTTCGACAGGTATGCGTAATGCGAGATCACGAAACCAAACGGGACCAGCTTCAGTTGTCCATTGAACATGAAAACCTAACAATACACAAGACAAAAGATCATAGAGCAAAGATACAGAATATGATTGGCCGTGCAATAAAAGTGCGGAATGACCGAGTAAACCAATTGGTTGAAAGGAATGAGGAAGTTTGTGTTTTGCAAGTGAGTTGATGGCAATCCCGGAGAGAAATTAGCATCTGTCTCATAGAAAATGGTCTGACTGCTTTTGCACTTTGGTGGTGATTAATTCTCAATAATTGCGGCCACAGTCGTGTCGATTTGACCTCTACTTTCGTCTGGTTAACGACGCAACGCGTTCCTATGGAAATAGCCACCGGCAGTATAGAGTCTGAATAATACGTGTGGCGCACTCAAGCTCTTGAAATGTTACTCAGTAAGTGTCTCTGTCGTACCGACCACTGACCTGCATATCAGGACAGTAAGAACACAGTATCAGAAGATGTCATATTACGCAATGTGGTAATGTGTTACAAAAAATATCACTTCTGTCGTTCCCAAATTACTGATGTAAACAAACTTGATCACATGGACTAGATAACAAATGGCTTTTCTTGACTGCCTGACCAATTCACTTAATAAATATGTCAGTACACTAGTACACGGGTTCGTGCACTCAGTTGGCTACCTCCTCGTAAGCTTGGAAAAGTCTATGGTATTTATAACAGGCAGAAAGACACCAGTTTTTTCACACTGACTGGCGGATTTTCTCACTTCATACGTAAGTCGTTTGGCTTATTCATTTACCCTTAGCCGTGCAGTTCATAATAGGTTTTTTAATCACCTCTTGGGTAATTTGGCTTGATCACGGCAGGTATAGTAAGCAAATGAACAAGATGGAAGTCAAAAAAGCTGCCGGACGTTGTTAAAACGAATCGCGCATTGTCATGTTGTTATTTTCATGGTATTACTTGCCATGGATTAGCATTCAGATTTTATCCTTAGTTTGAAAGCTGTGGTAAGAGGACTTACGACCTGCAGCAACAAGACACCCTGAGGTCAACTGTGAAAAAAGCACTCAAATATCTCTATCGCTAGTTTTCCCAAAACGGGATCTGAGCACTTCAATGCAGGTGTACTCCGGAATAAAGGGTTAAAAAGGTGCTTATAGCGCTTGATATTTCTAAGACCAATGGTAAACCAGGTGAACATCTACTAATTGCTACCCAATCAGCCATGCACTGAGTGCTGATCACAAGCAAGAGGTACCTGCACTAGAGAACTACTCCGAGTTTAGGCTGTCAAGAATGAGATCCACCTTTATTCCAAGCACAGTGGTTGATTTATGTCGAGATCGCAAGCCAGAACGTATGGCGAAAATGACAATTTCCGTTGTTGAAAAACATATTCGGTTGCCAAAGCATCAGTAGTCCCAGCTGATTAAAACCAGAACTATCTCCCTTGATCGGCTTATAGCGTCAAAGCTTTTTTACGTCCGCTGCGCCATGGCGTGCAACGAGTATACTGTTTATGACCGGTAGTAATTCCTTATGTCAGAGAGAATTCATCACCTATCGACCCATTATGTTCTGTTGGTCCATCGACCAAGTCGATTCATCAAAATATCCAGTCATCCTCCAGTCAGAGATGGCTTTCCGAAAAGCACACATATTCACGGTGAGATAAGCCAATAATCTGGTCTTTAAACAAACCTCATACCAAAAGACAGGTGCCATTCGCACGAACGATTGATTTACATGTAGGCCGGGCCAATTTCCATCCCAACATTCCAGTAGATTGTAACCAGTGCGATGGCCCAAATATCCCTCTCTAAAGATGCTGGGTTCTGAGCTTCAAACAGATGGTAGAAACCACCCTGCACACGCATGTTTTAAGCATTCTTGAGAATGAGCTGGCAGCTGTTGCCATCCGTCTTTACGTAGAATAATGTTGAGAGATGTGACATCATCAGGACTAGACACAATTCAGGTTATTTTCAGCAATCCTCCCAACACAAGGACTCGTCATATGGGACTAAGCCCTAAGCGAGGACGCCTCTTAACTGTGGAAGTCACAATCAACAAAGTGTGGAGCATATTGCCACACACGGCTAAATTTTCAAGTGGCTTTCTTCTTCATGATAAAAAAACGTGACACTTGGTATAAATTATTCATTTGCACCCTGGCTTCGCTTGGCTCTCCATTGATATTGTATATTCCCGTGTTAAGCACTACAAAACACGTAGGAGTGAACCAAACAGAGGGAAAATGTCCGGTGTTGGTTATAACTTTGGTTGAAAGAGCACTTTTGTAGCCCATTAGAAGTGATGTCAAACATATGCAACTTACCCGTTTCATCATGTATGTTCGAAAGGAGAAGATTCGTCTGCAAGAAGATGCCCTAGCAAAAGGGGATTTGGAGCTTAATCGGTTGGATGAACAATTGCGGTGGCTGGGACAAGAAAAACGTGACCTAGAGAACGGTATTATGGTTCTCAGGAAGAAACTGAAACAGCGCAAGGAGCTGGAAGACGAAATGTCAAATAAGCAAGTTCAGGTAAGTAAAGGATTCGGTCTTTTTTGCAAAAGGTACACAGATTATTTAGGAACTTAGGTGCACAGTTTGTTCTATGAAAAGATGGAATGAAAGTACGGTCGGCCTTTATGTTACTTAATGAATCCGAACTTGTACTTTGCTTGGTTATCATCTCCGGCGTGATAAAAGAAATAAAAAGGGTGTTTTTGATTGAGATACGCCCTTCGTGACCTCAATATGTGAATGTGTAACGAAGGAGCAATGCTACCCATGTTTTCCGATATGGCTTTACAAACAGTGATATAAATGGAACAGTGTCTCATTAGAAAACGATTGGTTCCGTCAGAAATTTTCCAGAGGTTACAAAGAGTTTGGGTGTTGTTAGCGAGGTCGGCTTTTGAGCTTGGCTAGGGTCATTGAAAGAAATAGCAGCTAATGGAAGTCAATGGCGTGCATGTTGTCAGCTTCTATCCGGACTGTCTGTTTTGACTATTGAATTGTAGACACTTCAGAATACTTGCGAAAGGTCGGCCCCAATTACCTGCCTGCGCCACTCCTTTTTTCCTTTTGTTTTCAGTTTAAGGCCTCAGGTATAATCAAACACATTTTGTGGCTGTACGGGAATGGATCATCAGTATCAACACCTGTGTTGTTATCTCAGAAGGTGATAATGATGATGATGATGATGATGATGATGATGATGATGATGATGATGATGATGATGATGATGATGATGATGATGAT